AATCTGAGTTTTGGAAGAGATGTTATCATTAGCCCTGTTGGTTAATAGCAAAATACAAGAGTTTAAAGCATTTTGAACGGGCTGACTTCAGTATAATTTTAAAAGGCTGCAGATTTGGTTATGAATTGCTTTCATAAAATAGGATTCTCTTTGATTTATTGCAGTTATCTGTGAGATATGAAGCTATATATTAAATTATAAGCATGGTACATAATTATGATTCTGACCTCCTGGGAACAATGTAATCACTTTTTATCATTTTGTGTGCTAAGTGTACACTAAAAATTCCACAACTATAGCATATGACACCAAATCTAACATGGAAACAACAGGGGTAACTTTTTAATTATTATTTTGTGTTGCTTTTTAATTAATAACATAAAAGTGAAAGAAATATGACAAAGAAAATAGGCTAGTATAAAAAATCATTCCAGCAGTAAAAAATTACAATTTTACATATACTTATCCAATGTATAATAATATTATTATATATTATTCTAATCCATATGTTTCTCTTCTATAATTAACATATTTTAACCTACGGTATTATGATTTAAATGAGCTCCATAGTTCATTATACTTATCCAAACAAAGTCTATGTCTATAGGCAATCAGCTCTTAGGGGCAAGTGTAATCAGTTAACAATATGGGTTAACTTAAATATTATAGAGAGAGCCAGTTTGGTATAGTGGTTAAGGCATTATGAATTCTAGTTCTTAAAAAGCCAATTGGGTGGCCTTGGGCTAGTCACTTTCTCTCAGTCCTAGGAAGGAGGCAATGGCAAAACACTTCTGAAAAACCTTGCCAAGAGGAGTGCAGGGACTTGTCGAGGCATTTTCCAAGAATTGGACACAATTGAATGGAAGAAAAAGAAGCAAACTTCCAATATATTGTTGAGGCTTCTATGCAAGTGTAATGTATCCTGTGGAAACCAGATACCATGATTAGAAATCCTAGTCCTCATGTTTCCTGAATGCATATACAGTATATGCCCAGGATGATTGAAAGACTTCTCTGCTTTCCACGTTATGTTTAAAAAAGAATGTGGAGAAACTTGTGTCCTGAATATTGTGGGTTTTGGAATGTCTGGGCCATAAAGAGTTAAGATCGATTTCATTTTGAATTAAATTGGAGTTTGTAGGGTCCAAAGCAGATGCATGGGCTAGGAGAATTGCACAAATTTGAATAAACAAACTACCCATTGTTAGAACTGTCCACATCCTTGGCCTCAACTATAGTAATAGATTGCAGCTCAGTGATATGAATGTCAGGAAAAGATGTATTAGTATTAGAAAATTTGCAAAAGAATCTGTCAGAGGAATTGTAATGGTCCTATTTGGTTGGATATGTTGTTAATCCTGACAAGAGCTGACTGATCCTATCATTACTGTGAGGTGATAAATTTTGAGTAGAAAACAGTTGGCACCCTGAAAGGTCTAGTAGGGTAATTTCAAGTTGCCTTAGAGCAAACAAGTAGCAATCAGCATGGAAAGTGTCTAGATTTTTATGGCATAATAAATAAATGATCAGTTGAGATAAATTTAAGTAGAGCAACTGAGCATTTTAGCAGTTTAGATTAATTTCAATTTTGTTAATATATTAAGTTTGAGTCAGATTTAACAAACTTGCTGCTTCATTGAAGAAGAAATAACTCCTCCGGCAAGAAATTAGTTATTGATCTATTAGCAATATACACGCTGTCACCTCGGAAAATGTTCAGTGATGATTATTTCTAAATCACATCATCCCATCTAGCTAAGTTATGTACGATCTGCTCTTTTATATACCAAATGTTTCCCTATTAGTACTTTATCTTATTTACCTATTTATTTTCAATATTGCAATGCTGTCAGTATTGGCATTGTGTTATATTTGTTCAGCAACCTTAAGGAACAGCAACTTACCTCTTAAATCATTTTTATGCTATCTTTTAGGAACAGATTTTACAAGCATTTTATTTTTTTAAAAAAATTAATGTGATGCAGTTTTTAAAGCCAAGCCAAGTCAACAAAAGAGTTGTACAACATTACCAACACTTAGTAATAATGACAGCAAAACAAAAAGAATGCAAACTCTGAAAACAAAATATTCTAAAAGCAAGACAAAGAATTATCTTGAATCATGAAAGCTATTCCTTAGAACTATGTCTTTTTTATAGTTTGTTGCAGAGTCAGACAGATGTTCAGACTGTATTTGGCATTTTTATTCACCTATCGAGTCCTTCCGAAAGACCTGGGATAGGCCAAGTTGTTGTTGTTCTTCTTCTTGTTATTATAATTAGCTTCATAGTCAGTCAGATGTTTACACTGGATTTGGTGTTCTCCACCTACCAAATACTTTCCAAGGACCTGGAATAGGCAGATGTTGTTTTTTAATAATATAAGAGGTAATGTTGCAGGATGCGAACTGTTCCAAATAAAGCTGCCTTTAACAATTGACTGATGGTGATTTTGTCAGTGCTGATGGTGTTCCAGATGTTTGGGAATTACACCCAAGGCACCTATTATTGTTGGTACTACCTTTGCTTTCTTTTTGCCACAATCGTTCTATTTCCAAGTCTTTATATTTTGTGGTTTTCCCCATCTCTTCCTCTTCTATTCTGCTGTCTCCAGGTACTGCCACATCCAACATCGAGACATTTTTGTCTTTCTTATCGATAATTGTCAAGTCTGGGATGTTATGTGGCAGATGCCTGTCTGTTTGAATTCTAAAGTCCCAGAGCACTTTAGCTTCCTCATTTTCTATTACTTTCTCTATTTTGTAGTCCCACCACTTCTTTTCTGCAGGCAAATAATACTTCTTGTAGATATTCCAGTGCACTGTTGTTGCTACTCTGTCACTGTTGTTTATGGTTAGTCTGTGCAGTCTTTTTGCAGCAGCTCACTAGTGGTTCACCATTGTGGTTATTTCTTCAGTTGGATGAGGAGAGCACATCTTTCTCCTTCTGTCCTAGCTACTTTTTACAAAGGCATAGTTGAAAGCATTTTAAACAAATTGCATCACAATCTGGTTTGGGGGCAGCAGTGCCTCAGATAGAAAGTCCATACAGAGAATGGTAAGGACAGCCGAGAAGATCATAGGAAGCTCTCTCCCTGATATTCAGGATGCTGCTTTATAAGCACTATGTGCTTAGAGCTCGAAGCATTGTTAGAGACCCCACACACCCACTTTACAGTCTGTTTCTGTTGCTCCCCTCTGGAAGGAGGCTTCAAAGTATTTCTAGCAGGACTACCCAATTCTCTAAGAGCTTTGTTCCCTATGCCATCCGTCTGGTAAACTCGCAAAATTAGTTTTTCTTGCCATGCGCATGTATACATAACCTGAACTATTCTGTTGTTTCTCTGTGTCATATAATATATGTGGGTATATGCATAATTCCGTGTTTTATTTATTTTTCTCATATTTATGTAGTATATATAGGAGGTGGTGACCCTTTGAGAGCTGAATGCAATGAAATTTCATTTTAATGTATGCCGATTAGTGTACATTCAAAGTGTCAATAAAGTTATTATTCTATTCTATTCTATTCTATTCTATTCTATTCTATTCTATTCTATTCTATTCTATTCTATTCTATTCCTTCTCTTTTTTCTTCTTGTTCAGTTATATGTTGTGCCAGTGTCAAAATACAGGGATGCATATATATGCATATACCGTATTTTCCGGCGTATAAGACGACTTTCTAAACCCTGAAAATCTTCTCAAAAGTCGGGGGTCGTCTTATACGCCCAGTCATCTTATACACCGGAAAATACAGGTATTCTATTTTATTCCTTTACACATGTGGTTTGGCATATTACTCATCAAGTTTTCTCTCCCCCCCCCTTCTCTCTCGCTCAAACTCTATATTTTAACTGGAAAAGTTGGGAGTCGTCTTATACGCCCAGTCGTCTTATACGCCGGAAAATACGGTATATTCCCTGTCACAAATAACAAACTGGTGGAAATTTGCTACTTGATTCTAACTTGACCATTTGCATTAGCCATTAACATTTATATCCATTTATATAAAGAGCCTTCCCAGATTAATTATCACTAAGAATGGGGAATTGAAGCACCCTGTTCTTTAAGGTACTGCCAAGTATTTGGAATATCAGGCTGCATCTTAGAATTGTATATCTTTTTTTTTTTAAAAAAAAAAAACTCTTTAAAGAAGTTTTTCAACAGAATTAAAATCAGAAAGTCCTTAATAGATTTCCAGTCAGTAATATGCATATATTAGTATAGTTATTGATATTTCTATAATCAAACCAATTAATTTTGCCATCTTTGCTAATTCTGTCATTTTTACCTACCAATCCTTCCATGTGGGTATTTCAGAATCTCTCCATT